AGAAACCTTCTTCCAACCATGTATTCATTCCTCCCCAGGAACCAGAGCACCCTCACACCACAGAGCCAGAGCATCCTCACACCACAGAGACACAGCAGCATACTGAACCATCATCTTCAAACACCCCTCTAGAATCTACAGCAAAAGGACACAAGAATGATAAAGCAGATATGAATGAATCCTACAACACAACTGTCAGAAAATCAATGAGGCTCCAACTTAAGCATTCATCAGTCAATCACACCAAAGATAATTCTCAATGAACTGTCTCATATGGAACACCTGTGGCATAACCTCTAAATGTGAGAGGTTATCTTTTCTCATTAACAAACACAAAATCTCTGTCCTAGCAATCATTGAACCTAAAGCCTCCTCCTCTAAAATAACCAATTTCCAATTAGATCTTGGTTTCTCCAACTCTATAGTGAACTCTTCTAATAGAATTTGTATCATGTGGAAGGAGGAGGACTTAAACTACATCTCCCACACAGAGTCAGATCACCAATATTCTTTTCTTCAACAAAAAAGTCAGCAAGGATTTTCTTTTCTCAGCCATCTATGGCAAACACACCAAAGAAGAAAGGAAAGATCTCTGGGAAGCTATTAAGACCTGTAGCCATAACTACCATTGTGATTGGATACTAGGAGGAGACTTCAATGCTATCTCCTCTATAGATCATCACAAAGGTAATACTACACCATGCCTCCATAGCATCCAGGACTTTGATGATTGTGTTATGGATTGTGGTCTTCACTCCCCACCCTACACTGGTTCTCCTTTCACTTGGACAGGCACTAGGTCTCTGGGCAGATTGTGGAAAAGACTTGACAGAGTCTTTATCAACAACCATTGTCTCAACAGTTTTGAGGACATTACCTCTCAACACCTTCCTAGAGGCACTTCTGGTCACTGCCCCATCTTATTAAAAGCCTCTAACCCTATTTTCACTGGCCCTAGACCTTTCAGGTATATCAACTGTTGGTCTAAGAATCACACTTTCATAAAAGTCCTTGAAGGAAACTGGGGAAAATACTGTGGGGGATGAATGAAAGGACTCATGGATAAACTTAGTAAGCTCTCAAAGGTTCTACAAAACAACTTTTGGCAACATCACTTCTACAGTTTGAGGCCCTGGAAAAAGATCTCCAACAAGCAGAACAGGAATTTGATGCTAATCCTACCCCAGACAATAGAGCTTTCATGAATGAAAAAAGGGCCAACCTAATTCATGCAACTAAGAATGAATTTTTATTTTGGAAGCAAAAAGCAGGCATCAAATGGCTCAAAGAGGGTGACTGTAACTCCTCTTTCTTTCATGCCAA